TTTCTCAGTTTTTTAAAAATATTCTATTCATTATTTTTATTTTATGTGTATGAGTGTTATGCCTGCATGTAGGTAAGTGCACCCGTGTCGTGCAATGCCGGCGGAGGTCAGAAGAGGCTGTCAGATTCCCTGGAACTGGAGTTATGGGCAGTTGTTAGCTGCCATGTGGGTGCTTGGATTTGAACCTGGGTCTTCTGCAAGAACAGTCAGTGTTCTTAACCACTGAGCCATTTCTCCAGCCCCAGTCTTTGCTCAGTTTTGACACCAGAAATCTTGAACACACCAATCTGGCATGTAAACATCATGTGTTTTTGTAATGATTCCAAAAAATTTGTTTTCAGGTTATTTTATTCATTTGTTTTGTTTTTTGTAAGTCTCATGTAACCCAGGCTGGCCTCCAAATCCCTGTGTAGCCTAGGATAACCTCATATTTCTGATTCTGGCCCCCCTTGCTTCCAGAGTGTTGGGATTACAGATGTGTGCCACCATACCTGGCATAGGTTATTATTTTAAAAAAATACATTATATATGTTGTATACACATATGTGGTGTTTATACAATTCATCTGCAAATCTATATATGGCATTTATATTTAATTATACATTTATTTACAAATACAGTGGTTTCTTAGTGTTCTGCATTTTTTTTCTGGCTCTTGATTCATCTCCCTTTTTCTTATATATACATATATACTTTTATATATTATATATTGTATATAGAGAGTATATATAGAGTATATATAGTATATACAGCATATATATATATATTCATGAGAAGTTGTCCTCTGTACATAGTCATGTAACTTTCATCCTCCCTGGCTCTGCAGAACAAAAACCAAATAAACATAACTGAGAATTTTTCAAGGATCTTCCATGCTGATTCTCTTCTTTGTGACCTCAGGCTTTTCAACGGCAGGTCCATGAGAGCCTGACCCAGCTGGAGCTGATCAATAAACAGTACCGCCGCCTGGCCAGGGAGAACCGCACGGACTCTGCCTGCAGCCTCAAGCAGATGGTCCACGGAGGCAACCAGAGATGGGATGATCTGCAGAAGCGTGTCACCTCCATCTTGCGCAGACTCAAGGTTCCCATCAGGCCTTGTTTGTAATTTCCAGGCCAGAGGATAGGTGCAGGGTGTCTCACACAGCAGTGACACGTGATCTTGGGGGTTGGGGTAGAAGAAGTCAAGGTTCCCATCAGGCCTTGTTTGTAATTTCCAGGCCAGAGGATAGGTGCAGGGTGTCTCACACAGCAGTGACACGTGATCTTGGGAGTTGGGGTAGAAGAAGGGTTTGGCGGAAGTGACAGAAGTTACAGTGGTGCTCAGTGCTTTGAGGAAATGACTTCCCAGAGCATAGACCATGACTGGGCGACATCAGTGTGGCTATGGACAACTTAATGTTTATTACCATCCTCTCACTTCTAGCATTTTATTAGCCAGCGTGAGGAGTTTGAGACTGCACAGGACAGCATTCTAGTCTGGCTGACAGAGATGGATCTCCAACTCACCAATATCGAACATTTTTCTGAGTGTGATGTTCAAGCTAAAATAAAGCAACTCAAGGTAATGGGTTGGTTATTTTGCAAATTGTCCATGTGAAGGAAAACCAAAAAGGAAAGGGTTTATAGAGCCTTTTGTACAGAGCACAAGGAAGAACGCTTTAAAAATGAGTTCTCCATGATTATAAAAATACTTAGAAAATGCTAAAGATACATCAGGCTGATACCATTGTGAGCTGTGACAATCACATGGTGTTTGTGCTCTAGGCCTTCCAGCAGGAGATCTCACTGAACTACAATAAGATCGAACAGATCATCACCCAGGGGGAGCAGCTGATAGAGAAGAGTGAGCCCCTGGACTCAGCTGTCATCGAGGAGGAGCTGGATGAGCTGCGACGCTACTGTCAAGAGGTCTTCGGGCGCGTGGAAAGATACCACAAGAAACTAATCCGCCTGCCTGTAGGCAGCATCTACTTCTTTGTCATTAAATCCAGGGGGAATTAATTGTGTGGGATTAGGTAGCATCACACCATGGTCCAGAGTCAACCCTAATTTGAATACTCGCTATCTAACCTTAGACAAATCATATCACCTTTCTTGCCTCGGTTCCCCCACCTTTAAAACAGTCTTATTCACAGCCGCTACCTTATAGGGGGAATTGTTTTGATTATTAGATGACTTAACATACAATCATATAAAGACGTGAGCACACATCTACTGGCGGTGAAGCAATGAGATGATGTAAGAGATGTAAGCAATCATGAGATTATTCTTAGATGAGTTTTTCCCATTAATTTTCCACTTCCCACCATGATTGTATTTCATTTGTAGAGATGTTGTTATGTGGATCTTTGGAATCCTCTGTGATAAAATATGTTCTATGTCTGGAATATAGAGCCAAAAGGAGAAGTTGAGGTTTTATGAGTAACCTCCTTTTGTTCCTGATAATGTACCTGCTGTGTTGTAGGCCTGCTGCTTGGTCCTTTGTCTAGTCTATATTATCTAACTTAATTTCCTATAATGGCTCTTTGGAAAGTATTAAATATTATTCCCACCTTACTAGTAATAAAACTGAGTCTCTGGTAGATTAATAAGTAAGACATTCTGAAAGAGATCAGAAAATTCTTGAGTATTTGTTGATAAAGTTACCTCCTCCACATAATCAGTAGACAGTCTAGAGCACTTTGAGTGTTGGGATTTGCTGAAGATCACACCTGATGGGGTTAGGGGACAGTTCCAGTCCTGTGGTAATAGAATTGGTGTGACTTCCCTTCTAGCTACCAGACGATGACCACGACCTCTCAGATCGAGAGCTAGAGCTCGAAGATTCCACTGCTCTCTCAGACTTGCACTGGCAGGACCCCTCTGCAGATGGCATGCCCTCCCCCCAGCCTTCCTCCAACCCCTCCCTCTCACTCCCCCAGCCCCTCCGGAGTGAACGGTCAGGGCGAGACACCCCAGCAAGCGTGGACTCCATCCCCCTGGAGTGGGATCATGATTACGACCTCAGTCGTGACCTGGAGTCTGCATCTCGAACTCTGCCCTCAGAGGATGAAGAGGGTCGGGAGGACAAGGAGTTCTACCTCAGGGGAGCTGTTGGCTTGTCAGGTAGGAGACAGCCTTTCCTATGGAGTAACCATACTGTACAGGGAACACATCAGCTGTGCAGACTCATCTTCTCTGAAGTGTTTGATGCTAAAAGAGGTGTATAACATGGTTGAAGAAGGGGAGTCATGGGGTGCCTGTCCTGGAGTTAGGTAGAGACTTTAAGGAAGAAGTTTTTGAGTGAGACCAGAGAAATGAGTGTCAGTCTGTGGCAGTGTTCAGAGGAAGGAGACGAGGGAGCCCTGCCAGCTTTGTGACCAGCCTTGGTGTTTCTTATGATCTGAACTTTGTCAAAAATGATGCTATTGTGTTGAGTATGAGTAGCATGCAGTCAAGGTGGAAGCTGGAGACCTGAACAAGGGCCTGGCCGTGAAATTGGCAGATCACTATGGAAGAGTTTGGCCCTTTTCCTGCAAGTAATACAGATCTGGAGGAGGAGCTAAGGAGAGAAGTGCTGTGACCAAATGCATATTTTCATAGACTATATGAGAGGAAAGTAAATTGGAAAGAAGAGAATCCAGGTGGAAATCATTTATAATCTAGAACATAGGGCGGTGACCTGTACTTAGAAAGTAAGATAGGGTCTAGATAGACGTGGCAAGAAATCACTGGGAAAAAAAATCCTCCATACTGACAGATTGAGTGGAGATGGAGACAACTTTCTGGCTTGGGCATCTAGGTGAAAAATGCAGGTGGTCCTAGGCTGAGAGGACCATGAGAGAGAAAAAACACTGTGTGGCTGGGCAAGACAAGCAGGCTGCAAGGGAGGTGGGTTGGTGAGATGGTGAAGGTGAGGAAGCCAGTTGCATATATCCTGATTTGAGGTACTTGTAGAATTTCTAAGCACAGCAATTCAGGAGTAGATGCATGGATCTAGATCTAAATCTGAAGGTGCAAATTAGGTAGTTACCCACATGTAACTAGGAACTCTTCCAAGTAGATGGAGGGAACAGCACAGATGAAGCATCTAGAGAGAAACAGGAGGAGCAAAGAGCCCAGCCTCACGTATAGTGAAAGTCTGGACCAAGAAAAAAGCAGCTTACAGAATGAAAAGGACAGAATAACCAGAGTCTGACTGTTGACACTAGTACATGCATCTCAAGCACCCTTGGGAAAGTCATCTCTAGCTCTATTCATTCGGTTCCATCTGGATTCCTAAACACATGACATTGCTGTAAAAATAAATTTCTTACTTTTCTGATTTCTTGATACTGATGTCCATTAGTTCCACCTCTGGCTTCAGGACCAGTGCTGCCCAGGCTGCCTGATATGCAGCCACCAGTCACATGTGACTGTAAAGCACTGAAATGTGTCTGTGATATCTGAGGTTGACTATAAGTAGAAAATGCACTTACACATGTGGACCAATTTCAAAGACCCAGAACAAAGAAAGAGCACAAAGTATTAGTTCTGTTCATGTTGATTGCAAGGCATAATCTGCTTTAGCAAAATTTAGCATCAGCCCAATTTCATATGTTTATTACCCTTCTAAAGTGTCTATTAAGCCTTTAAAATTATATCCATGGTTCACATACATACAGAGAACAGTGTAACTCTAGATCCTGCCTAAGCCAGACATAGTGACATACATTTGTAATCTCAGCACTTGAGAGGTGGAGACCAGAGATTCAATGGTTCAAAATAATCTTCTGCTACTGTATTGGTTGCTTTTCTGTTGCTATGGTAAAACACCACGACTAAAAGCAACTTAAAGAAAAAGAAGCTTATTGTGACTTACAGCTCCATAGGACTGGAGTACATGAAGTCTGTAAAGGCATGCATGACGGCAGGAGCAAGAAGCTGATAGCCACATTTTCATCCACACAAGGGAGCAAACCCAGAGAGCAGGAAGTGTGGTGAGGCTATAAACACTCAAAGCCCATCCCCAGTAACATACTTCCTCTAGGAAGGCTCCACTACCTAATGGTTCTATAACCTCTCCCAAACAGCACCATCAACTGTGGACCAAGTGATCAAACACATGAGCCTATGGGGCGGGGGGCATTTCTCACACAAACCACCAGAACTATATAGTGAGTTCAAGACTTACAGAGCTGATCTGGGAGAGCTTATCTCAAAACAAGCACACAAACAAGAACCCCCCTATTCAACCACTTACTATCCCTTCAGGCTTGTATAAGAAAATTCATTCCTCTGGATGCTAATTTTCTCATCTATAAAATGAGTACTGTTTGGGTTTCTATGATGATAAATGTGCTTTTACTGCTTTGTTTTATTTTATTTTATTTTATGAGAGTGTTTTGCCTGCATGTATGTAAGTATGCAATGCCTACAGAGCCCAGAAGAGGATATCATATCCCCCAGATCTGAAGTTATGAATGCTTATTAATCTCCATGTGGATGCTAGGAACTAAACCCAAGCTGTCTGCAAGAGCAACCAGTGCTCTCAACCACTAAGCCATCTCTCCAGCCTTGATAAATGTACTTCAAACAGTACCTGGCTTAGAAAAAAAAATTAATGTAGATACTTAGTAGGATTTACATGATTCTCTATGTGCCAGGGACTGTCTAGAGTGACTAATTTCTTTTTTCCTCAGGAAAATTACTTTCCTGTCACAGGGGAGTCAAGGTGTCCAGCACTTAGCTGTCAACTTAGATTGTGCTCTTTTTGCAGATGTAGTGATCCCTGAAAGCCCCGAAGCCTATGTAAAACTCACAGAAAATGCAATCAGAAATAACTCTGGTAGGCACCAAGTGGGAGCGAGCCTCCCTCCCTGCCTTAAACCCGCCTCTCTCAGCACAGCTTTCCTGCCTCTCACGGCTTTGGAGCTCTAGCACGCCAAGGCACAGCCTTCCTCCCTTCCTTCTGTATTAGAAAAAGGCAGCTGACTGATCCACGCCTAGAAGATGCTCACAGTAACCAGATCATGAAATGGCTCCTCTACTTGCCAGATGAGAAGCAGTCTCGTTAAGGAGAGAATCCTGCCCACCGGCAGCGGAAGCTCGTACTCAGCCATGTACCCTAGTCGTCTACTTGGTTGTAGCATTGTGGCCTAGTGATGGCTGAGCAAGCGGCCTTAGGCCGCCCTCCACTGCCACCTCTTTTTTGAAAAAAAATTTCCTTTTAGTTTAAGAGGCCTTACCAAATGTTCTCCACAGAATTTTAGCCCTTAGATTTCCCTGTAAGGAATAGGAGAGAGATACTCCTGAAACCAGAGGCATTAGGACATGGAGCCAGCTCTGCTCAAGGTTGCACTAGATCAGCTGAAGGTCAGGGTCAGTGTTTGGGGGCATGTTGGAGACTAGCAATATGATTCTGAGTCATGGAGACACTGGTTTATACTTCGGTTTCTAAAGGCCATAAAAAGGACAGGAATCAAAGTAGCATTACAGACAGGGTGATTTTCTCAACGATTTCCACATAGTGGCCTCTGCCTGCTGTGTTTAGGAGGCCTTTTTCTAGGGACAAATAAATAAATTTAATAAAGCTTACTAATATTTTTTTCTTTTACCACTCTGTGCTAGTGCTACTCAGGTGATTCATGTTCTTTTTCATCAATAAGACTGTAATACACATGCAAACATGTACACGCAAGCATGCATGCATGCGCACACACACGCACGCATGCATGCACGCATGCACACGCACTGCAGTTTCAAAGTTCTTAAGAAGAGAATGGGCCAGAGGAGCTTGCCTAAATAGAAGCAATGAAATCTTAGCTTGCTCCTGGTTTCATTTCAGACTTCCCATAAAAAGCCAGTGGCTGCTATTTTGATCTGTCTATGCACATGTATTGTGAGGTCATCTTTTCTTAATTAACTCAAATCCATCATATCTTACGTGAATGATGCAATCAGGACCTTTAGCAGTGTTGTTGTCTCCGAGGTGCACAAAGACAAATTGGAAGATCAGTCATTCCCCGATAGCTATGTGAGCCCATGAAAAACCTCTCTTCTAGTTCCTAAGGAATGACAGACACCCCTTATTAGAAGAGGCTCCCTCCATTTATAGCACTCACATTGCCAGGGGACTGGTGGAAGGAGGAAGCAGACGCTCAGGCTGCCTAGGATGCACTGCAAAGCCCTTTGGCAAACCCAAACTGCTGAGTAGCTTCAGGAAACACTTTCACTGGCTTGACTCCTTAAATGTTTAACCCTCTAGCACCATAGCACTAAATCTGCTTTATGATTCCCCCAATATACACATTTTTTCTACTGTCATAGCTGAGTAATTTCTGAAACCTCTTGAATGATAAGCTTGAAGTAAGTCAAACAGTATGGGCCATTAAGACTCTTGTGGTTGACACAACAGGGGATCCCAGTGCCTTGGAGTCTCAGATCAGGCAACTGGACAAAGCTCTGGATGACAGCCGTTTTCAGATGCAGCAAACCGAAAATATCCTTCGTAGCAAAACTCCCATGGGGCCAGATCTGGACACCAGCTACAAGGGCTATGTGAGTGTGCCAGCATGCTCCTGACATGGACCTGGATTACAATTCTGTGACCAAGAATAATCCTTCTGCAGCATGAGGGCTCTGTAAAGTCGTTAGTGCAGCAGTGTCCTTAAACTCTTGATCATGGATATGTAGAACAAAGTCTCATTGTCTAAAATGATTCTTTGGGAAGAACTGATCTGTTTGCAAGCCCCAGAGGCCTGCTGTCATGACCCGTGTGTTCCTTCTCACTGAGCACTTCGTATGATCTGTCTAGCTGAATACAATAAAATGCTTTCATTTCCAAATATCATTAGGCGTCTGTCCAAATCCAACTAATAAATTTTGGACCAAGGCTTTCCCTGAATTACTAATACGGGATTTTTTTTTTTGGTTCTGTTTTTAATTCATTTAATGACCTTGGAAATGTTTTCAACCCTCTGTTTTCGATTTGGGGGAATTGCATTGCTGGAAATTGAACCTTGAACACATTAGGCTAGTGCTGTACCATTGAGTGACATCCAAGCCCCACCTTCTTTGCTGAGTGTGGAGAAAACAGTTCTGACTTATGAGAATTAGAAGAGAAGATACCAAGGGATTATGTGTATTATTAGTTCTGTGTTTTCAGCTACTAGCTGTACCCGATCAATTCTATTATAATTTGATTTACCCTGGACTAGTTATTGATGAGTAATGTTTCTCAGAGAAGTACCTGTTTCCTACACATTCTTAAGGAAGTTAATTTTAAAGTATGTCTCCCCCTAAGTCTTAGTCAAAGGAATGGAAAGTTAATTTCCAGTTGCCTAATCACAGCTTTTAGAACCAGGGAGAAAGCTATTCTACGTGTGCATGCTGTTGCTTACTTCCTTATATTATATCTTTCTAGTGAAACCTCTTGTTGTATGTGTAGTGTAGAGGTTGGAGATGTACCTCAGTGGTAGAGCGCTTGTTTAGCATGCTTGAGGCCCTGGGTTCAATCCCCAGCACCCCATATGATAAAAATAAAGTGCAGTGTAGTTTTATGGTGACCATCTCAACACCACTGCTATGAGGCATAACCTCAACCAAAACTGGTAAAAAATAACTCAGAGACATTGTGATACATGATAAACATTGAGACATAATGTTATGCCTCATATACAAAGAATGTGTTGACAGTTTTGTTCTATTTTATCCTACTTTGTGCTCTTTTATTTTACTGGAGATTTTTGGTGGTATGTAGCCAAGGCTGGCCTCCAACTCATAAACTTCCTGCCTCAGCCTCCCAAATGCTAGGATTACATGCATGTGCCACCATGCCTGACACATTTGCTCTTGTAGTATTTGAATACTATGTGTAATATTAAAATGGAGTTGGAAGCTTTTTCTTTGATTTTTTTATTTAGTCCCTTGATGTCTATTAAACACTACTTTAAATTTTCTCATAAAACAGCTGGCTTTAATATTGCTTTAAACTCTTAAGTATTTCACTTATTCAGTGCAAAAAACGTTCTTGTGAGATTTGTGGTGCTGTTAGTGTTTGCACATTTAGGTTTATGGAAGAGAAACAGGGAACAACTTGCCAAAAATTATATATTCCTTGCCATCTGGTGGATCTGGGCTTTAAATTCTGGATCAGTTTGGTCTGCTCAGGTTCATGAATATAAGATAAGTTTTGAGTGTTTTCCACACCCATCATGTATGTGAAGTGTGTCTTTAAAGGTTTACACTTTGTGTGGGGGGGTGCAAATGTAAATGCGAGTGTGTGTATGAGAGAGAGAGAGAGAGAGAGAGAGAGAGAGAGAGAGAGAGAGAGAGAGACTGTTACCTGTTGAAATAGCATAGTTTGGAATTCTGTTTATATTTAGTGTATTTTACAGAGAAGTAAACACAGCCATTGCCCTGTTGGGTCACTAGGAAGATGTTCTCCAAAAGCTCTTGCCCTGGTGAGGCCTGTGGTAACAGAGTCATGATTTTGTATCTGAACAGATGAAGCTGTTGGGCGAGTGCAGTGGCAGCATAGACTCTGTGAGGAGACTGGAGCATAAGCTGAAGGAGGAAGAAGAGAACTTTCCTGGCTTTGTTAACCTCAACAGCACTGAGACTCAGACAGCTGGTGAGTACATGGCCCTGAGTTCGAGAGAATGATGCAAGTTTCTGAAGCGCTTTGTCACACCCAAGTTCCCCGGGCTTCCTAGCTTCCTTCTAGGCTATTCTGTCACGAGAACGTCTCTGCACGAGCTAATGATCACCTATGACAGAGGAAGGATGATGAGGAGTGTCATAATGCATCTTGTTGTGTTCCTTTTATGTGAATGCTCTGCCTAATCTCTGTCAGCAGTTTCTTGTATATGTTTTCAAAGTCTTATTGCCAGAAGCCAAGGATGGATGGATCACCTCACACACACTACTGTTTATTCCTTCATAAACCTTCTCACAGTGCTACATTTTATGTGGCTGTTGTTCTCAGTTATGATAGAAGCAGATAGGAAAAGAGAGTCATGGTACCCAGTTAACTGTTATTTGCAGGTGATAACAAAAATAATCAGTGGAATGACTGTTCTTTTCTGTTGTTCTTTAAAGTTAGCCACAATGTATATTTAAAACACTTCAAAGCCTCAGAGGTGGAGAGCACCCATTCACTCACTGTTCTGTGTGCGCTCTGCCAGGTGTGATTGACAGATGGGAGCTCCTACAGGCCCAGGCGTTGAGCAAGGAGTTGAGGATGAAGCAGAACCTCCAGAAGTGGCAGCAGTTCAACTCAGACCTGAACAACATCTGGGCCTGGCTGGGGGAGATGGAGGAGGAGCTGGACCAGCTCCAGCACCTGGCACTCAGTACCAACATCCACACCATTGAGTGCCACATCAGAAAGATTAAGGTAGCAGTCCTTGCCTTCCCTCCATCTGTGAGACAGACCACAGTCATGCGTACCAGCTGTTCAGAGCTCTTTGTGTGTGCGCAGATGCTGTGTGTATGTGTGCAGATGCTGTGTGTGTTTGTGTGCAGACATGTTTGTGTGTGCGCAGATGCTGTGTGTATGTGTGCAGATGCTGTGTGTGTTTGTGTGTAGACATGTTTGTGTGTGCACAGATGCTGTGTGTGTTTGTGTG